AAACAGAGGAATTAGATAACCTTGTGTGGGGAGTGGGAAAGAATATAGACTCTGGAACCAGAAATATGTGGGTTATCATCCCGGTTCTATCTCTTATCACCTGCTTCATTTGGGGTAAGCCATTTGAGCAGTCAGCCATGATTTCTTCTTATTAAAGAGGACCTAGTAACACTATCTGCAGAACGGTAGTGAGCATTAAATATGATCATTTAAAATACCACAGGCCAGCACGTGGTTAAGGTGGCTGAACATCTCATGACTGACTGCATGGTTCGAGTCCCAGACTTGAAGAAATGCAGTTACAATACTGTAGAGAAGCAGAGGAAGCCATCCCGTTGCCATGTATGTGTGTGACACAAGAACTCACTAAAGGATGGCCACTGTGCTCTGTGTTAAAACCTGTATTTTAGGAGCCAGCAAGTAGCATGGTAGTTAAAGATCTAGATTCCCACGTGGCCAACCCTGGTCTGAGTACTGGACCCGGCAACTTGAAAATCACACTGGGCATGTGTGCATGCATGGCCAAAATCCCAAGAGGAGGACAAAGGACAAGGGACAGCACCATAGCCATCCCCCTTGGGGGGTGATTTCCCACTTTCCCTCTGTATTTCTCTGTCTCTCCCGTGAGCATACACACACTATGACAAAAAACTAAAAACAAAACAGAAAAATCTGTAACTTAAAAAACTATGACTTCAGGGACCAGCAGTTAGCGTAATGGCTATGTCGCTGGACTCCCATGTAGTTGACCGTGGTTCGCGTCCCAGACCTGGTGGCTTAAACTCATGCCGGGCACGTGTGCGTGCGTGCTCAAGATCCCGAGAGGAGAATGGAGGAGTAGGGATTGCGGCTTGGCCATCCCCCCTGTGGGGTGATTTCTCGCTTTCTGTGTCTCTGTCTCTCTCTCTCTCTGTCTGGCGAGCGTACGCACCCTAATAGCAAAAACCTCTCCAAAAAAATAACAACTATGACTTCACTTGCACAGACATGCAAGCGCCTAGTATGATTTCATTATAATATGTCACTTTATTAGTTTTCATTTTGGAAGAAAACTAATAAAGACACTGCATGCATATTGTGAAGAACTGTGACTATGACCTGAGATAATTGTGTTTCTTAAAGAATTATATTTTATTTAACTTTATTTATTTATTTTTATTTGACCAGAGAGGTACACAGAGAGAGAGAAAGTGAGAAAAAGCAAGCCACTAGGTCCAGAACTCAAATCACAGTTGGCCATCTGGGAGTCCAGCACCCCTAACTACCACGCCACCTGCCGGCACTGATAGCTGAATTTTTAATCAGCTGGTTATAGTGAAATCCATATGATGATATGGGTGCAGATTCAGAGAGCATAATAGTTTTAAACTTTTATGTAACCAACTACCCAAAATTTAGTGACTTGAAACAAATTATCCCAAACTTAGTAGCTTACAATAACATTCTCTCATAGTTCTGTAGTTTAGATATCAGTGGAATCACTTGGTTCTCTGCTTTGGGTCTTAAAAGGCTGAAATCAAGATTTCAGCCAAGTTGCAATGGGCTCACCAGAGAGAGATGAAGAGAGAAAAAGTGAGAGATCACCCCTCCAGGGGGTATGGCCACACCACAATCCTTTCTCCTACATTCTACTGTCAGGATTTGGGGCACACACGCATACACTCCTGGCATGATTTTCAAGTGCCAGGTACAGAATTCGAACAGAGGTCAGCCATGTGAGAATCCAGCATCCTAACTACCATGCCACCTGCTGGCCTTGAAACTGTTCTGTTTTTAAAGGGCTCATGTGTTTTGGTTAGGCCCTCCCAGATAAGCTCTCTACAATAAGAGCAAATTATCTGTTGATGATCAATCACATGTACAGTATCCCTGATTGGACTGGTGTGAAGTGTATTCATGTTGGAAAATTCACTTTACAAGCTAAGCGATGTATAGTGATTGAATGGATAAAAGAAATTAAAGTAAAATAAATATTTCAAAACATGATAGTAACCTTAATTACATGTGCAAAATTATTTTTCCTGTAATATAGTCATACGAATAAAGGACATGGGGGCCATCTTAGAATTCTTCCGAGCAAAAAAAGAGAGTTAATGCAGAGGTTAGAACCATGAGTTTGGGCCACTTCACCATGCAAATCACTTTTGGTGCCAGGACCTGTAGGAGTGTCATCTTTATAAATCCCTTCCATTTAATAATGGAGTGCTTCTATGCATTTATGCCTCTCTGAACTTGATGGGTCAGAAAACATCCAGGTCAGGATGGGTAGTTCAGGTGGCATGGTAACTTATTCCATGGTCAAGCATTCAGCCACTACCAAGGCCCGATAGTAAGGCAAATGATTCTCAGAAAGGCCAGGAAGGTTTATCTCCCTAGGAAATTAGCGCCAGCTCAGAGCTGGGGTCCTGTAATCACGGCTGCATCTTATTATTCCTCTCTCCTGATGGGCTACCGCTCTAGTAAAGGGCTGCATGTCTCTAGATAAGAATGGGAGAACAAGTGACAAAAATAACCTTTTTCACTATAAAAGGGTTCTTCCTCAATAAGCCTCTTCTTCCTACTTATGTTTTTGGATGTTTACCCAGGTGAAGTCTGGGGTTTTGACTGACTCAGATACTCTTCAGGACGCAGGAGTAACAAGCGTATGTCTGTAGTGCAGGTGATTCTGCAGAGCATTTCCTAGCACTACCGTCGCCAAGGATTAAAGCCCATGGAAACTGCAACACCTAGTTCATCCTGGACTGCTCATGGTCGTGAACCTCAGGAAAGAGT